TGACATTTTGAGAGCAAAATAATGATAGTGATAGTGCTATTATCTCCCAGGTCTAATCAAAATGTATAATAAAATAAATCTATCAAGACTATTATTGTCCTTTAAACAATATGTATTATTCAAGAATCTTTAGTATTATGGATCATTGTAAGTGCTTGTCATAGATGGGACAAGGTTCCATCGTTAGCAGTATAATTATTTTTAATGGCACCAAATTAAAAAAACCAGCAATATGTATTAGCTTGTATGTATAAATGTACTTATATACACAAATTCATGCAGGAACAACATTTGCAAAAGTTGTTTTGCAACACTCGAAGTACTTTGGAACCTCAACTTACTAGAATAGTATTCTCAATAGCGGTTGTGTATAGACGCTATTGTACTAGAGTAATCAGTATTGACCCAGGAGGTGTAGTAGAGATTTCATCTATTTGCATAGGTCCTAGGTTAAGGTGTGGCTCTAATGGTAGAACTATAGCGGTATTGGCAAAGGCAGAGCTTTTTTCTAGTTTTGCCATTGATTTGCAGGGGATATGAGTGCTTTGGGTTCGTAGAACACTCAGGGGTCCTTGCAAATGGACCTGCAACCCTAAGCAGAGGTTAAAAAGGCTATATATTTTTTCATATTATTTGCCTGAAACTTTTCTCTTTCACTTATGTTTGGCATAAATGTTAAATGCATGTTACTTATGATAATCTATTTCACAAAGGTACGTCAGTTATGGTTCATTTAACTGAGATATATATGTGACCACAGGTATGTTACAGCGGATTTTTAAATTCATCATTGTATTGAAAAATTTAAACCTGTGAGTGGTCTGTTAGACTACAATTGTTTCTTAGAGTTATATGTTAACTGGAGTAATTTTATGATAAATTGAGAGCAGGAAGTTGGATTCTTTAGCTACAAAGACAAGTTTTACTATCCTCCATAAGGTACCTTTTGTCAATTATGGTCACACATGTTCTTTGAAACATTTTTGTGCATAGATGTGAATAACATGCTGTTATAATGAAAATGTTTGCAAAAATTGTACTTTTACACATAATTATGTGTAAATTATTTGTAGATTGAAGTACCACACATTATTACAGTTTAATTAATAATGATTATACTAGCTGTGTGACATGTAACTATGGTTTAGACAAGTCTCGTGGGCAATATGAGGGTAATATAATGGAATAATTCATAGAAGAAGCCAAATTTTATCTGATTAAATTTTTGGGAATGTCAATAACCATAAGAACCAGTGTCTGCAGGCCTAATAATGATGCTTTCTTTTATTATTTTACTTAGTGAATCTTCGGCTTGATTGTACTTACTAGATGGCTACGTAATTTCTCTATTTTTTACAGTTACATTGAAAATGTATGATTTTATGTAAGTCTGGGACTGCAATATTTGCCCTGTTATTAATGCCTTGACTTCAATTCAATGTCGTATAAATTTTAACTTTTTAATCAAGCAGTGCTGATTAGTATCAAGGTGCACTGCATAGTCAACTTTTTGGGACCTCTTGTACTCTCTTAAGGAAATTTTAGCCACATTAAGTATAAAAATTGCTTTACACTTAAGGTACTTTTGGATGAAATTTTAATATTTTTTTAATTGATGCCATTTTATAGGAAATAAAAAGTTGTACACCTTGTGCTATTTTTAAATTTTTACCATACACTGTATATAAGTTATAGATCATTGAACTTTAAATATA